AAAGAGATGATTAAAATGTGGGAGGAAGTGGGGAATGAAAATGTGAAAGTGATACGAAGGGGGAAAAGAGATCAGATAATGGGAAATACAGACAAATATGATAAATTATTTAAATTAGAAAAGAGGATAGACAAAAGAGTGGGAAAGAAAAGAATTAAGAAACTAAAGTTTTAAAAGCAGTAACAAAATAGCAAGCTGATATTTTTTGAGGGAATGAATACATATGGCACACATTTTATTCTACTGCCTCAAAAGGTGCATGGAAATGATGCTCAGTAATTAGCCATTTGTGACAACTTCATAATTTCTCAGGATTACCCGTGGAAGAAAAGAAAGAACAGAAAGTTTTCAATATGCACACTACCATCTGTTTAAGGGCTGTATCCATGGCAACTAGAAACCAAGACAAAAATCGGTCACCATGTAACCACACTCCCCTGAGAAACTAGCAACGTAACATAATTTTTTCAGTTTCTAACAACATATTCAGACATAGTACCACTGAACATTTAAGGGCTAAAATGAGGTGCATCAAGTAATGAAGTTGGTGGTTTATGTTAAAATTCTACCACACACTCAACCTACTCCTCAAAGTTATGGGTATCTGACAATCCAGCACTCGCACAGACAACTCCGTGCTTCAGGTTCCTCCAGACCAGAATATTTCAGCTAGAGGAAGACTGGGAAAGGTAAAGCTCAAAGAGTTGCCAGCAAAGAAATTCTAGTTGTTGTTTTGGGGTTGTTTTTTTTTTTTTGTAGAAAGCATCCAAAGTGAATTCTGCTTTGGCTAAAAGAGCTCAGTGAATAGCAGGGGAAAAAAAAAAGAGAAAATTATTTACACCCCAGTATCTTGGAGGTACAGTATAAACAACTTATTTTTTTCCCCAGTTTCCCTATTTTGTTTTGGGTTTATTTGGTTTGGGTTTTTTTTTTTCCTTTTTTTCTTCTTTTTATGTTGGCTTGTGCAACTTGTCAGGCTCACATTTTTCAAAATTTCTTGCAAAGACCTGAGGAATAAGCTTAGGACAAAAGCGCCTATTTAAGAAGGGGACCCCCTTATGGTCAGAACAGAGTTTGCCACATTGCGTGGACAATGGAGCACCATTAAAACGACCTATCATGTTCTTGTGTTCTCCATAATGTTACCAATATACAGGGAAACTGCATTGTCTCTTTTCTCAAACAGATGAACTGAAGAGTAAAGGAGCAGGAAGAATAAGAGAGCACCTTCTTAAGGGGCAGTTAAACAAAATTGTTTCGCTATGGCATACAACAGAGGAAAGTTAAAGTTCACTTCCCTCACTAAACAAAATGGAAAGTAGGAGAGAAAATGTTAATTTAACGCACCTACGGCACATTACCTACGGACTGCGTATTGGGACTCAAGAAATCTGCACAATATTCTCCTAGAATATAATTCAAAGCCATATTTGATGACTGATATATACTTTGCAGCTTTTATTATTTTCAGTTTCACAAACAAACCCAACCCTAAGATCTGCATTCTTTATCAGCTTCACTCCCACACATAATATCATCATCTAAATCCCATCTGTAATGTGATCTGTTCAACTCTACTGTCTTCAAATTATACCTTTCCAAGCCTCTACAGGCAAAAGAACTAACCAAGTACAGCAACCCAGAAAATGTTTTTCAAATTTTTTTAATACTATTTTGAGATTGAAATTAGCCTGCTTTTCATTTTTAGTATTACATCTCAACATTTGTGAATTATGCTTTTTATGGTTTAGTTGATAGTCAGTAAATTCTGTAATTAAAAAAAGGGCTGGTCAAAACCTTTCATGACACAACTTTTCTGAAGCGCCTCTCTGAAACTTTCACACACTGATCGCCTTCTGATCACTGGTTTCACAGATTAGCACTATCGGTTAACTAAATGCTGCGCTCAAGTTAAAGGCCAAACATGGAGGTAACTTGAAAGTATTTCAGCAACTTGTAAAGGGAAGCATCTTGCTGATGTTCAAACAATGTTAATTTATTTTACTTAAACCCCTCCACCTTTTTGGAGAACTCTATTTGAAGTCAAACATGAAACAACATTTTTCCACTTTCATTGTTCATAGCCTAAGGAAAGGAGAAGACGAGAAGAAAATGTTATTAACTCTTCTTTTATCATTTACCATTCTGAACTTATTTACCACTTCTTGCAATTAAAGACAGATTATAAAGATAGTCCTTCGTAACTGGAAATAGCTTCTTCCTCCTATCTGAAGAAACCTGGCTGCACTCTTCCCAGCAGCTTGTAGCCCAACAGACACTTTCAATTCATTTTCTATTACAACGGCAACGTTCAAGAATTGAGTAATTTCTAGTTCAGTTCTTACGCTGAAACTGATTAATGTTCTAATGGGAACAGAGAAAAGCAGATTAGGATCTTTCCATCTGAGGAACAATTTCATCAGATTGAAATGTTAATAAATCAAGGAAAACAGAATTATGTTATCAGGGACTGGAAATAGCGATTCATACTCTAGTTGTTGGCCAAACCTTTATGCCATCACACCTCTAATTCTGGCAACATATTAATGGCAACATAGCTATATCTACTTGCACTACATTACCTTGAACACAATGAGAACTTGTGTATCAGTACAGAGCTGTGTTTCAGGCAGAGGAAACTCAGCAAAGACCTCAAATGTGATTAAATTATGAGCAATATATATTCACATAGAGCAATGCAAGGCCTACCTATGTTGTCCACTAGGTTTGACAGAGTAGTAACACATACAACCAAGATACAGGAAAAAGTGAATTCAGACACCGTCTGCCTTGCTTTACCGCCCTACAATGCAAAGTACGCAAGTATCTGCATTTGCTGGTTTGACTAAAACAGAGAAAATAAAAAGTCTCTTCTATTCTATCCAATAAAGAAATAAACCAAGAGCATTAAACACAGCAAACAGAAAGTCCCTGTAATTGACGTCAGGACAACAGTGTATGGAAGACTGATGGAGAAGAATAAAGAAATCCATTATTTTTAAGAAGCAGGAATCACAAAAGATACATGAACCAATAAACCGTATTTTTCCCACAACTTAATATAATCCTTACAGAATGTATATCAATACCTGCTGCTGCCTTTGCCGCCTCATTTGGGCAACCTGAGACATCATGATTTGGCGATCCAGTAACTCCATTCTCTGCTGCCTCTGGATATCAACTGTTGCTCCCATTCCCACTCGAACTTCATTTGTTGGTTCCGCAGATGAGAAGATTGGTTCAAGAGTCCAAGAAAATACCTTTGCTACCCAGCTGGGTACACAAAGAATTTGATGAACTTTTAATATACTGCTATTGTAGCAAATCCCAGAAACCTAAAACCAAAAATTAAATGTTAAAAAAACAACCAAACAAAAAAATACACCAAATTTAATTTGTATTTAGCTGTAGATAGCAGTTCGTATTTCTGTCTTTTAAAGCATCTTTTATTGTTTACCCAGGGTTCTCAGTTAAGAACCAGAGAAAGAATAGGGGATTTCTTTACCTCCAACTTCCCTACAACTATAGACTATTACTTTCTAAAATCTCTGTACTGCATTGCCTGTGTGACTCAGAGAGCTGCTTGGGGGTTTTTGTTTGTTTCAGAATTTGAGTCCAAATCAAGTGATGCTTTCTCAACCAGGTCAAAATTCAAACAAATTTTTCATTTCTAGTAAAGGAACTGGTCAGAGTATGCTGCATGCTGACCTGAGAAGATTAAGGCTGCCCCTGAGGATGCTGAAGTATTGTAAACACTCCTTAAAAAAACAACCCCCTTAAGGCTTCTGCCCCCACCACCCAAGTCTCATCTTCTAGTAAAAACAAAAGCAAATCAGCTGATCCAAAGTTAAATCTAAGAGTGTGCACAGACTTATTCCAAAAGAATCCCATCTACCTTCTAGGAGAAAAAAAAAAAAGAAAAGTTCAAAACCCAGTTCACTAAAAACTGTGATACTGAAAAAAGCCAATTTTTGTGACACCATTCTGCCACCCATAAGAAAAATACCGATTCCCAGCATTCACACTTGTGCTTGCCTTGGGGCTTGATTTCATTTCAGATTCAGGAGAAGCAACAAAAATCCATTTGCCCCATAAATGATCTACAGTCATCACTCAGCCCGTTATGAAGCCCTAGCACTTGAGCCCAAAGTGGTCCAGCAGGAAGGACAAAGTTCTTGCACTAACTCGGAGTCTGCATTCTGCTTTATGCCACATTTCAGTATTTGTGACAATTTATTTTCTGTTATGCCACAAAATTTACACTATTATAACACAGTGAAATGAACAGGAAGAGATATGAAGCAAAAAAAAAAATATCTGCAAACATACCCAAACAATGCAATTATGCTAGAAGCGAAGTATAAACTCCACATCTGGGCTACTGATTTGGGGATATTTATTTTTTCTCACTGACATTTGTATAAACATACCAAATGCACTGCTGCATATACAAAGGGAGATAGTATAGGAAAATGCAACATTCTTTGGGACGGGGATATTTTTCAGATTATTTACAAGTTTATTGTTAATTATCCAGTGAGATAATGAGACTTTTCACAAAAATACATTCTGCTTTGGGAAACACTGATTTTCATTTTATTCTGCTTTCATTTTATGACTGTGTCAGGGTTGGATGTAACACAAAACACAGGCTACCATTGTAAAATGACACAGAATGGTTTTAAACTACACTTAACCCCTTCAATCTTTTCATGCTATGAGGAAGGATGTAAACGGGATGGGATAAGAGGAAGGCCATAATCTCCGGCCTTCCAGAGATAATAGTGAAGGCTGCCTTTAACGAAAATTTTCTGTATTCAAAGAAAGGTCCTGACTGGACTCCAGGAATCACAAGGCACAGTAACAGAAGCTTCTTCATGAACTCGGAAATTCTTTCCTCAGCTCTAGTGAAACTTCCAGATGACTGTAAGCCCACAACCAAAACCTGCGCACATCAACTGGAAACTAATATACAACTGTAATTGCCAAAGAAGTGGAGGAAAATTTGTATCACTTCTGCAATTCATCTACTTTTCGTATGTAGTACTTGTATCCACCCAGCAAGAAGGTTCCTCAGAAGCTAACCACCTACCTGGTCCTAAGAGAGTCATGTAGATAGGCTCCTCATGCAAGAAAACCTAGATTGTAGGGCTACCAGGAAGGTGACTTTTTTTGGGAGCAAGAATTACTGAACCAGTTTGCAAATACTACATATACATTTAATCTGATGATTTCTTAGATGCAAAATGCACAGGCAGCACCAGAACCTATAGATTATGTTCCTTCCTCCCACCTCATATCGTTAGCTATGGAGTCAGGCCCCCTCTTTCGTCCCAGGGATTCTGCATTCCTGGTTGCGCAGGTGTAACCAGGCAGGGAAAGTGCTCCCGCTCAAAAGACTTTGTCCAACACCACACCAGCATTCCCTCACTTCTTCCAAATGTCCCTCCCAGCTAATGATCTCTTCTTACTCTTATCACCTACAGTCCTTTGATAAGGTCTAATGTTTTCAGGGCACCCTAAATCTTGAACAGGTTCAAAAAGTCACAAGAACAAAACAAAGCAAGTGGTTATAGGAAAATCTACATTTCCCTGAATGCATGACAAATCTTGACACGTGTCTGAACACATTAACCACAAACAGAATCATTCTCTTATCAACACAAGATAGAAAATATAGCAAAGAGATAGCAGCAGCACGTCTTCAGTGTCAGTACTTTGTTACTTGTTTGTCTCAGAAGGGAAAGTGTACTGCAAGCACCAACTAGCAGCTGCATCAGTTAAAGCATTATCATTATTTTTCTAAGTACAGATGGCTAGTCATAGAACCATAGAATCATTTAGGTTGGAAAAGACCCTTAACACCACCAAGTCCAACTGTTAACCTAACACTGCCAAGTGCACCACTAAACATGTCCCTAAGCACCACGTCTACATGTCTTTTAAATATCTCCAGAGATGGCAACTCAATCACTTCCCTGGGCAGCCTGTTCCAACATACGACAACCCTTTCTGTGAAGAAATTCTTCCTAACGTCCAACCTAAACTTCTCCTGGTGCAACTTGAGGCCATTTCCTCCTGTCGTTTGTGAAAAGAGAATGACACCTACCTTGTTACAACCTCCTTTCAGGTAGTTGTAGAGAGCAAGTCATTACAGGGCATTTAATCAGAAGAAAAGGCTTTATAAGGTTAAAAGTTTATGGACACTTAAAATGGAGAATGGCAGCACTGAGTGTGTCACTCATCCACATGACTCCCATCTGTCTTCCTGGCTTTACCGAGCTCACTGGAGTAGCACGCCTGGTCTATAGCCAATGCACCAGTTGAAGTAGGCTGTCTTCTCTTTCCTTGCTGCTTCTCAACAGCAGACTAGTGTCTTGGCCCCTCCTTGTCCTGCCTTAGAGAGAAACTCATTGCACAACCAAATGTGTGGACTTCTGTGTGGACCTCACAGAGTAGGAAGTGGAGAAGTCAGACAATATAAAGTTCGCAGTGAAATCTAAAATAAAAAGCGTCTGGTGAAGGAACAAGACAAGACCGCATGGAACGAGCAGAAGAGATGCATATCTTCTACATATAGTTGCCAAGAAACTAACTGTGGACCAGTAATTGTTCAGAGCAATTGTGTGAGAATGCAATTCTTCACAAGTATAAACAGATGGAAGGAAAGACTCAGCGGTGAAGAGCACCAAGTGTACACTGGCAATCCACCTTGTTACCTCCACATCTGTTAGGATTTCAGTGCCACTCCCCTTTCTCTCTCCCTTGATTTACTACTCCAATTATAAAGCTATTAGATGGAAGTATACGAAACTTTAAATGCTCTGCTCAGTTTTAACAACTTTTCAAGAAGTTTCATCTAGTGAGGAAGAGATCCCTATTTGTATATTTCCAATAAACCCAGAATGGAGACCTTTGTAGTTAAAATAGGTCTTGTGATTCAGTCTGGTTTAGTGTCATACATTTATCTTAATGTCAAGTATTTCCAAAGAACTTCCTCTTCAGCCGGTTCATATGCAAACTTGACATATACAATTCAAAAAACCCCAAGCTTTGCCAAAGTATAAAGTAACTTTTTACACTGATTTTGTTAGAGACACATAGGGGATTTCTAGTGTTTAAGAAACTAAAGCAACTTTGTTCAATGAAGATAAGATGATCCCATTATATCCCAACTTCAGCACTGTACATCACGTTAAAGGGCTACCTCCCCCAAACAGATAAGCCTCCAGAGTATTTCAGGCTCTAATAAAGTCACCGTAGAAAGATGTTGCAGTTAAGTTCATGTTGTTAGAATGGAGAATTTAATTGGCTGGCAACAAAAAATACATCTTAGTTGTTTTCTGTTAGTCACACCATCACAACCTACAACCTCATCCATCATATCATATGAGGCATAATGCTAAGCAGAGGAAATTAATTATGCTGAAAATTGTCTGCAGAAGAAAAGTGTGCTTACATTTTTTCAGTTTCTTAACAACATGTCTTACTACATGGTCCTCTTCCTGCCCCTGTATAAAGCCCAAGTTCCTCTCCCCTTCCCTGATGTCCCTCTGAAGTTGTACACTTTTTTAAAAAAGGAAGTAGCTGTAGTTTCTCTTTTACATTAGGAAAACCAAACATGGAAGCTCTCCAATATTTCACATGACAGACACATATGCTCCACTACTAACTGAGATATTTAAAATCACTGTACTTTATTAACTCTAAGAAAGGAAATCAAACTGAAAAAACAGTACAGACTGGTGTAGAAAATTATGTTTATGAAATGAAAATTTGGTTTATGAAGGGCAAGTCCTGTTTAACAAACCTGATCTTCTATGACAGGGTGACCCACTTGTTGGATGAGGGAAAGGCTGTGGATGTCATCTACCTCGACTTTAGTAAGGCATTTGACATTGTTTCCCCACAGCGTTCTCCTAGAGAAATTGACTGCTCATGGCTTGGATGGGCGTAAGCTTTGCTGGGTGAAAGACTAGTTGGATGGCTGAGTCCAGAGAGTTTGGTCAATGGAGTTAAATCCAGTCAGCGGCTGGTCATGAGTGGTGTCCCCCAGGGCTCAGAAAGGGGCCACTCCTGTTTAACATTTTATCAAGGACTGGGGATGGAGTGCACCCTTAGTAAGTTTGCAGATGACACCAAGCTGGGTGGAAGTGTTGATCTGCTTGAGGGTAGGGAATCCCTACAGAGGGATCTAGATAGGCTGGATCCCT